CTTCTATGACACTGTCCATTTCTGAAATCTTGTTGTTTATCTTTTGGATTTCTAATTGTTGTTTTTGTATGATTTCTAGTTGTGATTTATTTTAGCATTTTGTTCCTGTGTTATTTTCTTGAATTCTTCCATTTTTTGTTTTTGTCTGTATTTTCCATGAATTTGTCTATTTTTTCCTCCTTTATGTCTGCTTTTTGCTTCAACTCTTGGATAATTCTGAGTATCAGAGATTTGAATTCCCTATCAGTTAGGTCTAGTGCTTTTTCTTCTACTGGAAAGTCACCTGGTGTTTTATTTTGGACGCCTACTGGAACCATCCTGTCCTGTTTTTGAAAATATTTTGATATTGTCTGCTGTCTTCGGGGCATTCAGTGGTTATTTTCCTCGTGTACTGATTGTAGATTTGTTTGTTTCGTCCTGTTTCGTTTTATTTGGTTATATCTGAGCAGGTGGTCTGTGCATTCTTTGTTGTTTGCTCGTCTGTGGGCACGATACTTCTCACCTCCTTCTCCAATGGGTAGGGTCTGTCACTCAGGTGTGGTACAGCAGGTCAGGTCTAGCTGAAGGGGAGTCGCTGGGATGGGTTGTTTGTGGCAAATTCCAGGGCTGACAGTGTGGACCGGAAATCGGTGCAAGGAGTGTGACGTTCAGCGCATGGTGCAGGTCGGCAGGAAGGAGGGGGTAGATTGTGATGTGTGGAGCTAAGATGGGTATGGGAAAGATGAGAGAGGGGAGAGAGGAACAGGAGCCAGAAACACACACACACAAGCAAAAAAGAGCGCTAAGGGAGCTTGCTATTAGAGTGGAGAGATGAGAGACTGAGAAATGGGGAAAAACAAAGATACAGAAAAAAAGAAAAAGGTTAAAAGAAAAAAATGAATAAATTGAGAAACTGGAAATGAAGACCAAAAGGGAATAAGAGAGAAGAAAACAAAACAAAGAACAAAAACAGAAAACAAAAACAAGCAAAAAGAAATCCCCGCGGGGATGTCCCTGTGCATCTGCATGGAGTAAGGGAGTAGCTTCCAAGCCGCACGGTACTGCCTGGCTAGAAGGGTCTCCCAAGCCGAGAAAAGAAAAAGAAAACAAAGAAACAAACAAATCAAAACAGAACCAATCAGAGCAAACAAACAAACAAACAAAAAAGCCCCGGCGGTCCCACCAGCGTGGCGGCATCGGCCGGGAAGCAGTTTCATGGTTGAGCGGTGTTTCACAGCCTTTCAGAAAGAAGCAAAGATCGCCCACGGAGCCAGGTATTTGAGAGAAAGGAGGGGGAGGTGGTGAGAGGCAAGGAAGAAATCTAAAGAAGCAGAAGAAAGCAACACCAACAGCCAACGAAAGGTGCTTAGCGAGCTGGCCAGTGTGGGCAGGTGGAATCCAAGCGACACCGAGGTGAAGCTGGTGCTACCCAGCCAAGCGACTGTGGCTGCAGGAAGCAGAAGAGGCTGAGTGGGGATGAAGAAGGTTGGGGGGTGGGAAAGCCTGTATTGCTGGTTACCAGATGTTCTGTCTCTTGCTGGAAGCTCCGTGACGCTGCTTTCTCATGCCCCCTGTTCGCTGATCTCTGGTAGGAGTCCAAGATGGCGGATCCGTGCTGTGGTAGCTAATAGGGAGCCTTTGCAGGTATCTCTCCTCGTTCTCTGTTCTTGGTCAGTTCCTTATTCCATTCGGTGCTTGGCTGAGTTATCTCTTCATTTGATGCTTAGGGTTTCAGGATTGATGTGTGACTCCGTTTGACTTAGTTTTTCTGATCTTTGCTGCAGAGGGACGGTGTGGTACTTTTGACGATAGTGCCGTGTTGCCCAGAAGTCCTTAATTGACTTTTGAGAGGTTATTTTTTATGAGCACATGTTACGATAGTATCAATTCAAGGAAATCAAGAGCCGTAAAGTTTTAGAAGTTGTATGTGACCACTGAAATATATTTTGTCCCTAGGTTAGGTATATTAATTTCAGTTAGTTGAAACCTTGTTTGCCTGCAGAATGTCTCTAGTTGGGCTTGGCATGGGGAAGCCTCAGTGACTTGAAGTGAAGCTGTATTTATTGTATAGTGTGTTTTCTTAGAGACCATTTTGTTGTGATAATGTATGGCTTTTTCTAAGTTTTATATTCATAATATGAATGCTTTTCTTTTAAGAACCCTCAACAACTAGTACCGCTTCAAATTATCCAGATGTATTAACAAGGCCTTCTCTTCATCGGAGCCATCTGAACTTCTCCATGTTGGAATCCCCTGCATTACACTGTCAGCCATCCACCTCCTCGGCATTCCCAATAGGCAGTTCTGGATTTTCCCTTGTAAAGGAAATTAAAGATTCTACCTCTCAGCATGATGATGATAATATCTCGACTACCAGTGGTTTTTCTTCAAGAGCTTCTGATAAAGGTATTCTTGGCATTTGTACTAAATAATTTTGGTAGTAAAATTAAATTTCATGGAATGAATCTTTGTTCTGACTTAGTTGTAATTTTCATTTTTTGTTTTAAAAATCTAAGGCCTTGTAAATGGTGCTCGTCCTATGCATAACCTATTTTTGTTTCAGATATAGCTGTTTCAAAGAACACTTCAGTGCCACCTCTCTGGTCCCCAGAGGCCGAACGTTCTCACTCACTCTCCCAGCACACTGCCACCAGCTCAAAAAAACCAGCATTCAACTTGTCTGCCTTTGGAGCACTTTCCCCTGTGAGTACTAGATAATTGGATTTAATCGCATTAGTTTTGAGTGTTTATTTATAATTTCTCATTGTGTTTCTGTGCAGTCTCTTGGGAATTCTTCAGTCCTTAAAACAAGTCAGCTTGGAGATTCTCCTTTTTATCCTGGAAAAACAACATATGGTGGGGCAGCCGCTGCTGTAAGACAGGCTAAACTACGAAATACACCTTATCAGGTTGGTTTGAAAGATTGATAACTATCTTTTATTTTTTGATTATTGTACTTTAGATGAAGGTTTACAGAACAAACTAGCTTCTCATTAAACAATTCAATTAGTACACATACTGTTTTGTGACATTGGTTACCAACCCCATGACATGTCAACACTCTCCTTTCTTGATTTTGGCTTCCCTATTGTAACTATTTTTGAAACAAAGAAAGGATAAGTGGATATTGGTGCTCAAAAAATAGAGTCTTGGTTCATTTTTTCTTTGGTAAAATGATAGAACTGTGGATTACAAACGACTCTTTTCATTTAGGGAATATATAAATATTAACTGTGAACATTTTGTACATTAGATTTGTGTGTGTATGCACATGTGTTCGCACACATGAGAATTTGTCTCTCTCAGGAAGTGGAATGATTAATTACTTTGTTTTTTTATTGAAGTATGATTACATACAGTAAAATTTTCCCTTAGAGTATTTGAATTTTGATAAACACAGTGGTGTAATTACCTCTGCAGTCAGAATATTGAATGAGCATTTCTGTTACCCCAAAAAGTGTTCTTGTGCGTCCTCTGGAAACTAGTGATGTTTTCTTTCCCTGTAGTCTTGACTTTTCCAGAATGTCAGATGAATGTAATCGTAAAATATGTAGCCTTTTGAGTCTGTCTTATTTCACTTAGCATAATGCATTTGAGATCAGTCTATGATTTTACATATGTCAGTAGTTAATTCCTTCTTACTGCTCAGTAGTCTGAATATAATGCAGTTTATATATCCATTCACCACTGAAAGGACACTTGGGTTGTTTGCAGTTTTTGGCAATTATGAATAAAGCTACTACGATCATTTTGTGAGAACATTAATTTCCATTTCTCTTGGGTGAATACCTAGGAGTTACATTGCCAGGTCACATGGTAAGTATACACTACTTTATAATAAATTGCCACATTGAGTTCCAGAGGGGCTGATACTGCATTCTCACCAGTAATGTGAGAGAGTTCCAGTTGCTCTACATCCCTGCTAGCACTTGGTGTTGTCAGTTATTGGTGTTTGTTTTTTCCTTCTGGCGATTCTAATAGGCATGTAGTGGTAACTCCAACTCATTGTGGTTTAGTTTGTATTTTTCTAATCAATAACCATGTTGAACATATTTTCGTGTGTTTTTTTGCCATCAGTATGTTTTCTTGGTAGAGTGTTCAAACCTTTTGCTCATTTTTTAATTGGATTGTTTTCTTATTAATGAGTTTTGAGAGTTCTTATTCAGGGTATAGGTCCTTCATTAGATACGTGTTTAGCAAATGTTTTCTCCCATTTTGTGGCTTGTCTTTTCATTTTCTTAAGTACCTTTTGTAGAGTAGAAGTTTTTATTTCTGATGACTTTTTTTTTCCTTTTATGGTTTATGCTTTTGGTGTCGTACCTAAGACATTTTTGACTAAACCCGCATCACGGATTTTCTCTTATGTTTCCTTCTAGAAGTTTTATAGTGGTAGATTTTAATTTAGGCCTCTGATTCATTTTGAGTTAATTTTTGTATGCGATATGACATGTGGGTTCAAGTTCATCTTTTTTCATGTGGCTGTTTTGGTAACGTTTGTTGAAAACGCTCTCCTTTTTCCATTGAATTGCCTTTCCACCTTTGTTGAAAATCAGTTGACCATATATGTGGCTCTATTTCTAGACTTTGTTTTTTTCCATTGATCTATACGTCTGTTCTTTTGTCAACACTATACTGTCTTTATTAGTGTAGCTTTTTGTAAGTCTTGAAATCAGGCAGTGTGAGTCCTCCAACTATTTCTTTTTTCAAGCTTGTTTTGGCTTTCTAGGTCCTTTGCTTTTCCATAAAATTTTAGAATCAGCTTGTTGGTTTCTACAAAGTCTGCTGGGATTTTGATTGGGATTGCATTGAGTCTAAAGATCAGATTGGGGAGAATGGACATCTTAGCAAAATTGAGTCTTCCAATCCATGAACATGGTATGTCTCTCCCATTTATTTAGATCTTTATTCTTTTTCTTTCATCAGTGTTTTTGTAGTTTTCAGCATATAGGCCTTGCACTTATTTTATTAGATTTATCCCTAAGTATTTTGTGTTGTTTGTTGTTAGTCAGGAAGAAATAGGTAGCCTGGATAGTCCTATATTTATGAAATAAACTGAATTCATAGTTAAAATATATTCCAGCAAAGGAAACTTCAGGCCCAGATAGCTTTCTCGGAAAATTCTACGAAACATTTAATAAAGAAATAGTAGTAATTCTACACAAAATCTTCCATATAGTAGAAGAGGAAAGAACACTTCCAAACTTATTTTAGGAGGCCGTCATTACCCTTATACCAAACCAGACATACAAAAAGCTAGAGACCAATGTTTCTCGTGAATATAGATGCAAACCTCCTCAGCAAACTATTTGCAAATTGAGTCCAGCATGCAAAAAGGATTATACATCATCACCAAGTGGGGCTTATCCTGGGAATGCAAGGTTGGTTCAGTATTTGAAAATTAATGTAATCCACCATGTAAATAGACTGAAAAAAAAAAAACCATAGGAACAGCTCCATAGGTGCAAAAAAAAAAAAAAGACAAATTCAGCATCTGTTCCTGATAAAAATTCTCAACACACCTAGAAATAGATTGCACCTTCTTCAGTCTAGTAAAGCATGTCACCAGAAAGTCTTTAGCATCATATACTTAATGGTGAAAGACTGAACACTCTCGCCCAAGACTGGGAAGAAGGTAAGGATGTCTGCTTTCATGGCGCTTGTTCAACATTGTACTGCAGATTCTAGCCAGTGCTTTAGGCAAGAAAACAAAATACAAGGCATACAGATTGGAAAGGAAAAAAAAAATCATTTCTATTTGTAGACAGCATGCTTAGCTATATAGAAAATCCGAACGCTACAAAAAATGCTACCAGAACTAAGAGTAAGTTTAGCAAGGTTACAACAGGGTAACAGGATCAATTTATGAAATCGATTGTATTTACATATATTAGCAGTGAACAACTGGAAATCGATTACTTTTTAAAACAATTTAGTTTGTACCACTCTATGCTTGTCCTGATAGTTTCTTGAGATCATAAAAAGTCTCTTTTTTATCTGTACATTGTTCTGGTGCTTTTATTGTACATTACAGATTTGGACATTTTAAAGATGGAGGAGTAATATTTTAAGCATGTAGACTTTTGAAGAGGGAAATCTTTGTAAAGATAGTCATGACAAACACAGGAATGGCTGAAACACGTATATTTGAAGATTTTAACTTTAGTTACCTGCTGTCTTAACTAGAGGATATAGGACAGAGTACACCTGCCCAATAAGGCTTCCAGAGTGGCCGGTGGATTCCAACTGCCGATCTTCTGGTTGGCAGCTGAGCTCTTAACCACTGAGTCACCAGAAATTATGAGGCTTATTTCTGTGTATGTTTTTATGAAGGGTGATATTTGTGGAAAATGTTAACTGGATGTTGAGATTACACTGGGAGCTTTTTCTAAAGCTTGAGCTGGTTCAGAGAACTCCTTTTAAAATCTTACCAGTTAAGGTAGTTTAGCGTATTGGGGAGGAGAAGATGACACAAACTTGTGATTGACACAACAGTCTAAATCCGTGTGTTCCTGCCACTTCCTGCTCTTTTGCTCATAGGACCCTGCACTCCTAAACGCGGAGTCTCCACATACCCTTAGGATCGTTCTCAACACAGGCTCCCCAATGATTATAGTTTACGTTGGGGATGAAATCTACTTGCTGTTCCTTTTTTAGAGTATGAGAGCTAGGCATTTTATTGGTTTGTAAACTGACACCCTAAGATGCCAGTAGACTCCAGTGAAAGGACAGGCTATCGTATTTTTTGGGAGGATATTTTGATGTTGCCTCATGTTTTCCAGAGTCTTCAAAGCCTTCAGCCTGAACAGCAATCCCTAGTGGATCATCAAGTTATTAAGAAAACTAATGTGGACCATTACAGCTACTCTGAGGAGAATGAATCCTTGGTATTAGATAAACATTATTTATTATGGTTCAATTTTTCAGATATTATGAGCACTTTCTAAAAACTGGGTTATATTTTTTGATAGGATATCTATTTTTTTTTTTTTTTTTTT